AATCATTCTCCCTCACAAACGCATGTGATGGAAGTACTAATGATTTAACACTAGTGATGCCCAAATAATCATTCTCCCTCACAAACGCATGTGATCTTTGCTTATAGGTGGCATAGTAGCATGCTAAAACAAGGAAGTTGGCTAGAAACAAGGGCCGCCCCATTTTCATTTTTTTGTTGCTTATGTATGTGAAAAATTTGTGGTCGGTTTGACAGTTGTCAGATGCAACTGTCACCTCTTCCTTTTCTTTTTTTCTCACCAAGCAATCTTATCCAGCAACCTACTAATCGTACGTCTCCAGATACGAGTTGTTCTATATATATATTTTTTATTGGGGTAACTATAGTGCAGTCACAATAACAGTTTTAAAATGCACTTCAGTCATTCCCCAAAACATAGCACACCCTCACGTGACCCTACCGGACTCGAAGCCTAACTTGTATACATTCGACGTTTTTAGGTCTTCTGCCCTAAAACAGATTTTCAAACTCAAACCCTGACCGCACTGTAATTTTTTCTTTTTTTCTTTCGTCAAACCTACATTATATCATTCTCGCAAATTTTTTTTTGTCTTTCACAACCTACCTACCACTGCTCCAAAGGGTACACAAAGGGGACCCCTGTAAGCATATCTACCTCACAATTAAGGGATTGCATGTTGGCTCCCGCCCCAACAGTGGTAGTCAGAGATGGGGTGGGTCGCCAGTGGAAGTTCGGCTAACACGAAGACTGAATATTTTGCCAGTAGTTGCGTCTCCTTTTTCATCGTCCTCCTATTTTATGTTATACTCAAGAAGATGTACATGCTTATTCGTAAACCACTAGTACCTCTGCCAGTGTTGAAAAATTACGAGTTTTTTCCAATTCCCAAAGAAATTGAGGGTGAGACCCAAGGTCGACAAGTCTCATAAATCTTAGTTTTCTTTTGCGTGAAAGAGAAAGGGAAAGAAAAAAAAATGTTTTGGTACTGAAATGATGTCGAGCACGGTAGTCTAGGAGGCCGTGCTCACGGTCTTCCTCTACAGAATGCATCTTAATGCAAACACGGTCATATTATGAAAGTTTTTTTTTTTTTTTTTTTGTCGTGTGTTTGTTATGAGTCCCCTGCCAACATGATCTGCTCAAGATGTGTTTCCGCAGAGGATTGTAACACTCATCACACTGACACTTGAAGAATGTATCCAACCATTTTCACGGATGAATCCCTGTTTCTATGGGTTTTTTTTTTTTTTTTCTCTTTCTATAATTTGACAGCAGAATCCGTGATCTGCTCAAGTCGTGTTTCCTCAAAGGATTGTGATGTTGATCGCACTCTTAGAGGAATGTATCCAACAATTTTCATGAGGGTTGAATCTGTGTTTCCATTTTAATTTATTTTTGTCTTTCTGGGATCTAACAACCTGGTTACGGGGTTAAGATTTCCTTACTGAGGGCACACTCACACTACCATTTTCAATAATATAAAAAACTGCAATCACGACCAAAACTTTGTTTTGTTTTGTTTTCTTATTTTGTGAGTTTCACGACCGCAACTTCCCCTCCCCCGGTAGAGTTCCAGGAGGAAAATTGAGTGGGACCCAAACTCGGCAAAACTCGGAGCGCAGTGAAATTCAGGCTCGGAGGTGCGAGTGGTTTAACAATAATAATTATTTACTTAGCAACTTTGGTAGTACCACCTGATTTTCAACAAGGTGAAAATTATCGTATCATCCATGTACATGTGCCTGCAGCCTGGATGAGTTTACTTGTTTATAATTATCAAAGTGTGCGACCGAACTTCACACTAGGGACATATGCCTTCAACTTACAACAGTAGGCTTTTCTACAAATTTATTATTCCCATTTTAATTTAGGATTAATTTGGATTTATATTTTATCCTCATTTGTTCCCAGTATGGACTGTTTGTTTTTTAACAGCACTCGAGTCTAAGGCCAATACTCTCCCACACACCACGCACAACCCACTCACACTGGCCAGAGACCCTACTGATACCGATATCGATCAGAGGTATCAAGAGGACTATCACAGCTGGCGGCTATGTGGCTTGAACCCACAACCTCCTGAATGCCACTTGCATGCCTAACCAACGGAGCTAGGACCCTGGATTGTTTTATATTTTTTGTTGTCCTGGCTGTCGCAGGACAAAAAAACTACAGTAACTTGTTAAAAAAAAAAAAAAAAAAAAAAAAAACCCTATAGTAACGCCCCCCGCTATCTATGGTAGTGGGACCAGGCACCTGAAGTGTGTTAAACCACCAGTACCTCGCCCAACTTGAAAAAGCTGATACGGCCGTTAACGCGCCGCGTCGGCGGGGTATCCACCCACGAACGACCGGTATTCCCCAAAAAACGGGCTAAAAAAACAACAACGAAAATAAGAAGTAATACACGAAAGAAAAACGGGGGCAAAAGGGGGGAACAACGAGAGAGAGAGAGAGAGAGAGAGAGAGAGAGAGAGAGAGAGAGAGAGAGAGA